CTCCGACATAATATATTTTATTTGTTCACATCCAATTTCGAGGCATTCGTCCGTTGGGCTTAGTTCGATTGCGTCAAAGTTAACTCATATTTGTATGGAGCTAGAAAAGCTTCCTTTCGTTTGCCGCTAGAGGCGCTGTTCCAACTCCATACAAATTTGAGTTTACTTAACTTTACGCTAACTAAACTCGCACTAAGCACACTGAAAGGATTACGAGAGAAATATAATTAAACAATAAATAACTGTGAACAAACCAAGCCCTAAATAAGGATTCCCTGCATTATGGATACCAGAGCCTGACGTACATACTTATCTATATACTTAGATTGCTCTTCATCTGGGTATCTATTATCTATATACTTAGATACATTTAAAAGTATATAATAGATACCCAGATGAAGAGCAAACAAATCTATTCATCACACGAACTTTTGCTCGATGTGGGAACCGAACCCGCGACCCTCAGCGCAACGATCACGGGCTTTACCTACTACACCACTAAAGCAGTCAAAATTATCGGATCTTCTCAGCGGGTCGCGATTCCGATCCGGTAGTAGATTCATTCGCGAAGCAACTGCTCTTGAGTAGTTAGGTCTCCCGGAGGCGCTCGGGCAGTTGTTAGCAAACCCACCCCTCCTGGCTGAGCCTTTGCTCATCCACCTGTCCTGGTGAAAAGGCCTCAGGGCCACCAGTAATCCTTCAATCATAAAAAAAAGTCAAAATTATATTGCCTACTAGCTGACTGATGGTGTATTTAAATTAATTAATTTCTGACAAGTTCCAGTCAGGTTCATATCCTACCAAGATATTTCGCATTCGGTTTCCTGATGCACTGTTGAACCGACTCCAAAAACGGAGGACGTTATCAATTCTCATCACGTAACTTTTTTCTAGGTTTTCTAGGTCCTTACTGGTGGTAGGACCTCTTGTGAGTCCGCACGGGTAGGTATCACCACCCTGCCTATTTCTGCCGTAAAGCCGGATTGAAAGGTGGGGCAGCCGTTGTAACTATACTGAGACCTTAGAACTTAAATTTCAAGGTGGGTGACGCATTTACGCTGTAGATGTCTATGGGCTCCAGTAACCACTTAACACCAGGGGGGCTGTGAGCTCGTCCACCCATTAAGCAATAAAAAACAAAAAAATAAATAAACTAGGTGCGCCGATTTTGATGTACAATTTTCTCAAGATCTGACCTTTTGCAAAGTTTTTTGTTTTAGACTTAATAATGCAAATATTGGCTTGGACTGTATTTATGGAATATTAATTTTATTTTGCCTCTTTATTAATCTTATTTCTTGATAGAACACGAAGATAATTCTAATCTAAAACTTCTCCTTTTTCCTATCCTCCAACTCTTAGTACAGTTACATCCTAAAGATACGTTATAAAGAAGGCGCGTAGTCTATTGACAGGTAATTTGAACGTATGCCCCATTATTACATGCGATCCTAGTCAGATTTCAGACGTATGCCTTAGACCCGTCGTACACAATCTACAGAACAGTACAGAAGGCTCAATTTGGGTGACTTAAAAAAAAGCCAGTTTAATTTCGAATTATTACAGCAAAATTAAGTTTTAAATAACATTTTGAGCCTACACCGAATAGGATCGTTCGTATTGTCAGTAGTCCGTTTCTCGGGGTGCGTTTGGAGTATCTGGGTCTGCGGAGGAACTTCGGTTCTCTCTATGTTTTGTGCAACGGACTATATACCATGGGAATTGCTGTGTGGAATTAGGAGGGTAAGCCGCTTTGTTACGTAACGCGTTACGGGGTCAGTCTAACTGGCTTCCCTTTCTCTCACGCATACGATGGCAGTACTAAGAACCTATATAACTCCTAACTATTATATTAAATTATACTATTATAATCCTATTTATATTAAATTTAGATTAAATGCTATTGTGCGCGGATTTGTGAGTCCGCGCGGGTAGGTACCACCAACCTGCCTATTTCTGCCGTGAAGCAGTAACGCGTTTCGGTTTGAAGGGTGGGACAGCCGCTGTAACTATACTTGAGACCTTAGAACTTCTATCTCAAGGTGGGTGGCGCATTTACGTCGTAGATGTCTATAGGCTCCAGTAACCACTACCAATCAAATATATAATATAATCAATAAAATATTTTATTAATAAATAATCTTTCCTTATATTATCATATAGAATACAAAAATTTAAGTAATAACCTAGGCTTTTCTCAAGTGAAACAATTTCAATATGAAATAGTTCAACTTAGATTAGTTTAAGTTCTCAATCTATACTAATATTATAAACTTGAGGAGTTTGTTTGTTTGGTTGAACGCGCCAATCTCAGGAACTACTAGTCTGATTTGAAAAATTCTTACAGTGTTACATAGCCCATTTATTGACGAAGGCTGACTAGATTTATAGGCTGACTAGATATAACATCGCGCTAGATCAATACGAGCGGAGCAGTAATACAGAATGCTACAAAATCGGGGTAATTTTTTTTCCTCTGAGAGTTTCCGCTGTATGTGCTGCGGAAACGGGTAAAGTTTCACTAAAATAATCTATGACAGAATTGTTTCCCTTTAAAGTTCTAAAAAAAGTCCGCGACAGCATTTGTCAATATTTTTAGGTTGGGTATGACCTTTTTATGTTAACCAAATTTATTCAAAAATAAAGCATTATTTGTGAAGGTGGTTTTATAAAGGTGATATTAATCCTTATCAAAATAAATACGTTATTCATTACAATTATTTAATTTAAAAGGAAATCGCCCTTTACATCATTTGATTTCAATGAGTACCTTAGAAGATATCGCAGTTTTCAAATAACAGCAAAATAATGATCAAGCGCGTAATAACGATGCACAAGGTGTCGGTCGGCCGGTGCACGACGGCACAGAAATAAGAAGAATAACAAGAAATACCCAAATCACTTCAAGATATTCTTTGAAAATTATTTCTCGATTTCTGCGGCATTCCATCATCAGGTCTTGATTCTGATGAATACAGGACCATTTGGGAAGTCTCCCCTGTTGAACAAAAAAAAACGAAAAAAGAATTATCGGAATCGGCTCAAGCATTCTCGAGAAATGGTGGTCGAATTGATAACCTCCTCTTATAAAGTCAGTTAAATAGCGCGATTTTGGTACCTTCAATAGCTCCTTAACATTTTATTATTAAAAAATATATTCACCTTCTACATAAATGAGGTCGCGGGTAAAATTTAGAGTTATCCAAAATAACTATTCGCGAATTATTCTAACTACATAATATTTTATATTGTTTTTATTTTATTAAAACACGCTTGTACAATAAAAGCAGCTTAGAATATTATGGCACTCCAACCAAGTAAAATTTTTGAAATTTAATCACAAAAAATGTAAGCCCATACAAGAAAAAATAATAAACTAAGTAATTCAAATCCGAGAACTCTGTACATGATTTTATGTTGTGACCGTCCGAGCGCGCGGCCCGTGCCACGCCTGAGGCGCTCATGCTCGGAATTCAACATAAAAATGTCGCGAACAACACACTTTCTAAGTTACTGTTCTCATAATAAAGCCGAATTTCGTCTGACTCCAACTAATCCTCACTGAACGATACGTAGCACAGAACTTTCACTAGTATCAGGTGGAAAATAAAGGTTAAAATAGCATAACGTATGATTTTAGTTTTTTTTTTGTTCGCTGACCAAAGATGAATTTATGCTTCATTGTTGTGTGATGTGGTATCATTACGATGTTTTTGAAGATTGGATCTGGGTTATTTTAGTTGGACAGTTTACATTTTTTAAGTTTTAAAACCTTCTGAACTGCAGTTTTATGGTCATAGTTGTCCAAAATACAACCAATTGAATAAAATTATTTGTTAACCAAAAACTCGATTAGTCAATTTTGCTAGCTAGTAAATTTTATAGTAGTAATATTTGAGGGATTTCAATATTTTTTTTGCTTATATGGGTGGACGAGCTCACAGCCCACCTGGTGTTAAGTGGTTACTGGAACCCATAGACATCTACAACGTAAATGCGCCGTCCACCATGAGATACAAGTTCTAAGGTCTCAGTATAGTTACAACGGCTGTCCCACCCTTCAAACCGAAACGCATTACTGCTTCACGGCAGAAATAGGCGGGGTGGTGGTACCTACCCGTGCGGACTCACAAGAGGTCCTACCACCAGTAAACTTCGACTAAATGTCTCCAGGTGAATTGGTTTTTTTCTTCTTTTTCTTTATTTAATATTTAGTAGCCTATCGGACCATTCCTACTACGCACGGACCGAGTGGTGAGGTCACGGTGCTCAACCTAGGAGGACGAAAAGTGAATTTTATTATTCACGTAATGCTATCTATGACCTTTGTGTGCTTAGTAGGAGTTTTTTAACGTTCTCGATAGCGTAAAAGTTAACTTGAATTTGTATGGGGAGTTGGAACGTTTACTTGCGTTTGCCGCTAGGGGCGCTGTTCCAACTGCATACAAATTTGAGTTAACTTTTACGAGGAATACTTTTAAGATTTCTTCGCTACCTCATAGAACTGCCCTTTATGACAAGAGTTTTTTAGTATGTCAACAAGAATATTTAATAAACTACCTATAAAAATTTTGAAGACAGTAGATTTACAAGATTTTAAGCAAAAATTGCAAGTATTTTTATTAGATAAGGCTTACTATAGTATGTCAGAATATTTAGACGATAACTTTAGATAATTTAGATGATAAAGTACAATAGAGTAAAATAATTATAATTTAAGTTTTTTTTGTTTTTATGTAGATTATACTTACACTTATTATTTGTACGCTTTACCAGCAGGACATAGTGATACATTTATTAATATTAACTTATTAATCTTTGTTAACCTATGACCACAAATAATAAGAAAATAAATAAATAAATAAACGCTCTCGAGAACTTTAAAAAATTCGAACTAAGCACACTGGTGTTATCGCATTAACGTCAATTAACGCATATATGTGCAAATGATAAATATTTATTGTATCACTAAGTTTGTGTTTCGTTTTGTTCTAGGTAAGCTGTGACAAATAGACTGATTTTATACATTAGACAACACATGCTCAGAAATTTTCCAAAAAGATGACATTTCGATGTGTTCCTACATTTCAAACGAATGAAAGCAACGCCACCTGGGTAAGTTTCCTGACAACATTTAAATTGACTATTTGACGATAGGTGGAAGAGTGAATCAAAGGTGTCTAAAAATTCTTGTAATTCACAATTAATAAAACGCATCGTTTTTACGAACAAAAAGTAGTAGCATGACATTAACTATAATTTATTTTATTTTGAAGTTCATTCATTAAAAATCTTTTAAAGCGCCATCTATACAATTTTCCGTGAACTATTTGGACATTTATATTTTATGCTTTGGTTCCGCTACTTCTCAATAGAGTGCATTAATAAAAAGACAAAAACATTGTACATTGGGAAAAACATTAATCTGAAAAAATTATACATAATGTATGTTTTGTGATTTAGTGGTTAAAGAAAAGACTTAAGAAATCGATACAACTATACCGGGTCTGTCATATGTAACGGATGCTGCTAATACGATCCATATAATAATATGTATGCCTTTCATAGTGAAGTCGCTAGGTAGAGGCCATTAGTGTCGCGATTTCGATCCGGTAGTAGATTATTTCGCGAAGTAACTGCTCTTGACTTGTTAGGTCTCCTTCGGAGGCGCTCGGGCAGCTGTTAGCAAATTCCACCCCTCCTGCCTGAACCTGTGCTCGCCCACCTGTCCTGGTGAAACTGGAAAGGCCTCCGGGCCACCAGTAATCTGTCAATCATAAAACGTCTTAGAATTAACGCTAAGTCTAAGCTAAGTGTAAGCTAAGTAAGGTAGATGGAGTGTGATGTTTAGGCCTAGACATCGCTAATGACACGGGCGATAGATGTGTTAAGTCCCAAATTATTTTAAAGACTATATAAATAAAAAAAAGGAATCTGTGTTTCTTATGAAAATTTTCAAGCTATTTATTCCCAATTATTATTATTTCCAAGACTTTAATGAAACTTGGTGTAGTTGTTGTTAGCGCTTGAGGGAAGCTTTTTGTCATAATACCAAAAACGTACCATAGGTGGTGCGCGACTAGTTTCCAATAATAGTTAAATAGGAATTGGCATAGGTTTAGCTGGTTTCACTACTAATGTTATATTACGAGATGTAAACGAGTTGACTAGTGTGCTCAGTGCAAGTTTTTAACGTTCTCGATAACGTAAAAGTTAACTCTTTGTATTACATGCAGTTGGAACAGCGCCCCTGGCGGCAAACGTAGGTAAACATTTGGCAAGGCGACGCAAGGCTTCTCCCACGCTACCAATGCGACAGAATTAGGTAGAATAGTGCTAAACCCGTCTGAGGTCACAGTACAGCTTATTTTACATTATACGACGTTTTTTTTTATTGTCCTTGTAGGCACACGAGCATACGGCCCACCTGATGGTGAGTGGTTACCGTCGCCCATGGCCTTCAGCAATGCCAGGGGCAGAGCCAAACCGCTACCTACCGATATGTCTTTATCGTGGAAATCGTTTGTGACCACGTTGTGCTGGATGCCGGTTTTTTATTTATTTGAAAAGCGGTAACTGCCAGGGCGCGTTGATTTAGTAGTTCTATCGCTTAATGCGAGTTCTCAACCTTTAAGCTTGAGACGATTGAAACTGTCTGCTAATTCGACATTTGCGAACTCCGAATTGCACACATTCTACTTCACATAAAGACCTTCTCGGTGGATCGCGATTCCGATCCTGTAGTAGATTCAGTGAGGCACCGCTCTAGCTTTGGCAGTTATTAGCAAAATCTCTAATGCCGAGTCCCGTGACCACTAGTCCGGTGAAACCAGAATAGCCCCCCGAAGCTCACCTATAACCCGTAAAAATCTGCTAATAATAATACCGCTAGCGCACAATAGATGGCGCGCGTTTATCTTAAACAAAATGTCTGTTTTTTATTCAATGACAATGCCAACGGCGCGCGGCCTGAATTCGCTGACATGTAACAAAAACATTACGTACTTGTATGTGCCGTCGAAACAATCAGATAATAACATTATAAACATTAAATGAACCATTACACTAATATTAATGATCGTTTGGAACAATCGGACCGCCCGCCTTGAGAATTTGACCTTTTACTTTTCGTAAGGTCTTTTATTTCCCCTACCTATGCTAACAGCCTTGAGAAGCTATTTCAGCTTCACCCTAGCGTGTAGGTGAGCTATCGGTGCTCAAACTGAAGGTGTTGCTAACACTGGTACTAGCAAGAGCAGTGCTTCGCAGAATCTACCACCGGATCGGAAACGCGACCGACTGATAAAATCCGGCGAGAAACTCAGTGGGCTTAGTAAGCTCGCGAAAGCCCGTGGAACTACCATAGTTACCGATGTCAAAAGGGAAGAGCGGTTTTCGTTCAGAGAGAAGATTTTACGATTTTTTTAATATTTATTTTATTGCTTAGATGTGTGGACGAGCTCACAGCCCACCTGGTGTTAAGTGGTTACTGGAGCCCATAGACATCTACAACGTAAATGCGCCACCCACCTTGAGATATAAGTTCTAAGGTATCAAGTATAGTTACAACGGCTGCCCCACCCTTCAAACCGAAACGCATTACTGCTTCACGGCAGAAATAGGCACCCACCTGCGCGGACTCACAAGAGTTCCTACCACCATACATACATACGATTTTGAAAAAAACGTCTACAGCACAGTCCGAAGTGGTCTAGAAGTCAGTTAAACGTTAATAAAAACAGTAACAAACAAACAGAACAATGTTCGTTTGTAATTTGTATCAAAAAGATATAATGTCTATATGCATTAATATCATACAGTTAATTACTTGTTCATGTAATTAATACTATTTTAATACGATTTAAATTCGCATGTCGATTTTTATTATTATCATTTTATTCCCGACGTTTCGAATATTTAACAGATGAAACCTTAAAAGTAATAAGTAATTTTAAATATATTTACGACTCGCGACAACCGAAGAAGTTACTATAAGTACCTATACTTATTCATAGTTACCGAATTCACTTCATAATAAAAACTAGCTTTTTAGTTGCCCGCTGTATTTTTTTTTCGGAATTTCTCAAGATCAAAACGGTTGTCTGGCAGAGATCGTTATTACCGATAAGATCGCTGATTGTACAATTATGAATATAATAACCCTAATAAAATATAAAAACCCCACTTGATGGTAAGTGGTTACCGTCGCCCATGGACTTCAGCAATGCCAGGAGCAGAGCCAAGCCGCTGCCTACTGATGATGAAAGTATCTACACTCCATGAGAAAATAAAACATTTTGACAGTATTTTTTTGCTTGCTTGCTTGACTTTGTTCTTGTTGCCTTCATGCCACTGGGTGGGATCGGCGGGGCATGTGCTATTTTTCCATTCACATATATGGTACATCATCTTCGCACCGGTGGTAGGACTTCTTGTGGGTCCGCACGGGTAGGTACCACCACTCTGCCTATTTCTGCTGTGAAAATATAGTGCGTTTTGTTTTGAAGGGTGGGGCATCCGTTGTAACTATACTGAGACCTTAGAACTCATATCTCAAAGTGGGTGGCGGCATCTACGTTGCAGATGTTTATGGACTTCGGTAACCACTTAGTACCAGGTGTTCTGTGAGCTCGTCCGTCCATATTATATGCAATAAAAAAAAACCATATCTCGCATATCCTCTTTCGCTCAGTTCAGCCAAGTATGTTTAGGTCGCCCCTCAATTAACCATATAACATTATCAATAAAACCGATAAAGGCACAACAATCTCCCTCATCATATACTCCGAAAAGAGCCGTGGCATGCTAGAAATTTTTGTGATAGTTTCTATTTTATTAAGTTAAAGAGCTGACGGTTAGCGTGGTATGGACATGTGATGCGTAGAGAGAAGATGCATGTGACTAGGAGATGTATGGAAATGGTAGTGCAAGGTAGATGGGGAAGAGGTCGACCGAAGAAGACATGGGTGGAGTGTGTGAATGACGATATGAGAGCGAGAGAGGAGTGAGTGTTGAGATGACGACTGATAGAAGAGAATGGAAGAGAAAAATTCGCTGTGCCGACCCCACCTAGTGGGATAAGACGGAGAGAAAAGAAGAGTTTCTATTTTATTTTTATTGCTTAAGAAGTCATTGGAGGAAATCAACCACGTTATTACCGTCGCCCACATCGAGACACGAGTTCTAAGGTCTCAGTTTTTACAGTACAACTGCTGCCCCACCCTTCAAACTGCATTAAATTACTGCTTCACGGCTGAAATAGACAGAGTAGTACATACCCGTGCGGGCTCTTAAGATTACCTACCGCCGGTAATGATAGATAAATAGTACACGACTTACAAAGCATTTGGTTATTTGGCCTTATTTGGGAAACTCCTAAAACCGTAGGTACTCCAGTTAAAACCGGCGTTCGTTCTAAAATTTCTCATGTAAAACACAGCTCATAAAACTGACGAATTAAACACGAAATTAGACCTTAAATCTATTTAATAAAGAAAAAGGAAATGAAATCGTTAGTTTGCTAAAATCATTAAGCGATCAAACCTTCTTTTAAATAACCGAAGATCATACGACACTCACACACGCGAAAACCCACGAATACTTACAGTCACGCACACAATCAAAGCTCACAATCAAACCTGATATGAGAAGAACAATGTTATAGATTCGCGCCGCGAAGCCGTTTGGGAGCTTTCTGTGTAGTATACTTAAGGCAAACAGATGCGACTAAGTACAAAGAAAATCATTATTAAGCAACAAGTCACACTTGAACGAATGACACGAAACAAGGATTATCTTTACTGTTAAAATACATTTTAATGCTAAACATGCAGTCCTGATCCAGGTCTAGTTTTACTGGTGGTAGAACGTTTTGTGAGTTCGCACGGATAGGTGGTGGCACCCTGCCTTTTTTTGCCCGAAAAGCAGTAATGCATTTCGGTTTGAAGGGCAGAGCAGTCGTCGTCGAGAAACTCAGTGGGCTTGTGTCTATGGGTTAATTCACTCGTCGAGCCCTTCGTCGCAAGCGACGGGTTCGACGAGAACGGTGACCGGATTTTGAGGTACCTAAAAGCACCGTTAACAGATCGGGAGGATCCGTAATGACATGTTAAGGTATAATGAATATTAATATCGCACTCAAAACAAAATTTACCAGTACGGATATTAATTTCACAAAAGAAACCAGCATGGCAGCAGTAAAACCTGTTTTGTAAATGGCATCTGTAAACTTAACGTATACTGCGAACTCCCCATCTTTTATCATGTCTGGAGGCTGCGAGGCGCGCGAGCACCCACTCCATGTGATAGCCTCGAGCGACGCGCGCTCGCTCACGTGGTCGCCGCAGTACTAACTAACCGCACGCGCCAAATTTAAATTACGGAATTAACTTTTTTTTTAATCATTTTTTTTTTTCGATTTCAATTCTAACGTGCCAGCCAGTGTTCGCGTTATGTTAAATTCGTAGTTTCTATCCATGAAGTTTCGATCGAAATTGAAACGTAACAGTGATGTGCAATTTTAGTGCTAATTCCGAGTTCTTTATTTAAAAAAGTACGTATTGGCATTTCGGTAAAGATCTATGAATTTAGGTGTATTCGCGTCGTATATATGATTGCCCGATTAACACGTACGAAATAAAACAAAAAAAACGAATGAAGTTATTACATTTTGGTACATGATCGGTCCGAGATAATCACATATCGAATGTGAAGAGCATCAATTTCCTTACAGCCATCAATAATAACGGACCGAGTAAACAATAACATTATTTGTTGTCAGACAGTGACGGAGGCATACAAGAGAGCGAGACGTAACTACACTCATCGATCTAAGAAAATAGAATTCTCATACGAAATGTAATGGCGGTACGATAATCGTGTAAAAGTTCACGATAGTTGCCCAACGCTCTGCGGTAACAATACAACACGTCCGGCTCACGTGGAGCCCGGACAAATCGATTTACGAACGGGCCACAAGCGAAATTAGAGATCCAATTACGTCGGACGCTTAAATCGGTCGTCTCGGCCAATAGATAATGATCTGTCGATGATTTACGCCGCGTTAAACCGACAATGCCACGAGATAACCTCGAGTCCGCCAGCACAATGCGACCAATTAGATAAGACGGGCTCCTCTCGGCAACATGACTAAAATGAACAGGACCGATATGAACGAACACGGTTTAAGCGTCGACGATATTTTCAGCGAAAACTACAACGTCAAACGAAAGAGGATCCAGTTGGAGAGCTTCGACGGGAAACAATTGACGAAAATCGATTCCGGCATCGAGAAGTCCGACGAACCGCCGCGAGAAGACCTGAAGGCGAAAACGAAAAGCTACGACGATACCGAATACGACATCGATAAGATCGTGCAAGCGAATATGATTATCGATAAAGAATCGAGTAAGACGATACGATTGGAGTTGAGGCAGCCCGGAGACGGCGGCACCTCAGATATTGACGTTCAGGCCGTTGAGAACTTAGACCCTAATAATTACACAGTTAAAACCGACAGCAGACTCAATACGGGAAATGAAAAGAACGTAGACTACAACATGAACGGATGCGAAGACGAGAATAGAGTAAGTATTTATTATAATAAAGATTTGATAGTGACATTTGAAACTTAAACATTTGACGTATTAAGGCCGTTAACCCGAAACCATAGCCCGAAACTGCATTAGATGTCACATTTGACATTATTATGACGTTCAAAGAAATGACATCTGGGTTTGTTTTCACGTAGAAAGAGGCAACGGTATCTTACGGAAACTATATAAAATACAAAATTCTTGAATTCGAATTACAAGACGTCGTGGCCTAAAGGATAAGATGCCTGGTGTATTCGTATCGTATCTACTGTGTCAGTGTTCGAATCTCGTAGGACAGTACCCTTTTCCCTATGAAGCGTATTTAAAACTTATTCAGGAATGTTTCAAGATGGATGGTGGAATTCACAGTTTAATATCATATGGGCTTCGGTAGCGGTTTTACTGGTGGTAGACCTCTTGTGAGTCCGCGCGGGGTGGTACCACCACCCTGCCTATTTCTACCCTGAAGCAGTAATGCGTTTCGGTTTGAAGGGTGGAGCAGCCGTTGTAACTATACTTGAGACCTTAGAACTTATATCTCAAGGTGGGTACCGGCATTTACGTTGTGGATGTCTATGGGCTCCAGTAACCACTTAACACCAGGTGGGCTGTGAGCTCGTCCACCCATCTGAGCAATAAAAAAAAGCAACTTAACACCAGATGGGTTAGCTCTTTCACCCATCGTTAATAAAGAATTCTCTAATTTTTTTTCATTAATAACACAAATACAGTGTACCTATACTGTGACATTTTCATTTTACGCATTTCAAATTTAATTAAAAATAATTTGATTCAAAGCTAGATAACCTTTGGTTATCTTTATCGTGGATCGCTGAGTCCGTATAAAATAGCGTGAAAAACCAATGCAATTTAACTAACAGTGAACGTTAAGCTCACAAATACTCACGCTCGTATTGTTAACCTCCTAAAAGATATTACCATTATTTATATATTGAATTTTATTAAAAACTAGCTGACCCGGCACACTTCGTAGTGCCTCAATCGATAAATAAAAGACCTAAACTTTTATATAAAATAAACTTAAAACAAAGAAAAGGGGGACACATCAAAGAAAAAACAAAATTGTTATTTTTATTTAATTCCGAGCATTTTCATATTTATCTATCCGTTAAACCTTCTCTGGACTTCCACAAATAATTCAAGACCAAAATTAGCAAAATCGGTCCAGCCGTTCCAGACTAACGAACAGAAATTCGTTTTTATATATAAAGATAGATGTTCTACTAGTAAAAGAAAACTTTCCCGCCATAAACTTTATATAGGTTAAGTATTTTTTTTGATTTTCACGAATCATAAATATAATTAAAATAGCTTTTACTGTTTAAACTGGCGTATTTTAATGTCATTACATATAAAATTCACGATATATTGCCACAAAAACTAAAATATTCGAAATGTCGGACATAATATAATGACAATGCGAAATTAAACCGAAAATCTACTTTCGATATAAATAAGTTAATAGACAAATTCGATCAGAAGGTGACTATCGCTAAATATATTAAACTACCCGTGCGCCACCTATCGTTTAATTTATGGTACTGAATTCTTCCTCGAAAGTACCAGCAACTATGTTACAGTAGTTCGTAGTGGTAGTAGCTCGTAGTAGTAGTAGTTTCATCACTCCCTAACCTAAACATCAAGCCGCTGAGTTTCCCGCCGGATCTACTCATCGGGTCGCGATTCCGATCCGGTAGTAGATTCAATCGCGAAGCAGCTACTCTTGAGTTAGGTCTCCTTTGGAGGCCCTCGGGTAGCTATTAGCAAATCCCACCCCTTCTGGCTGAGCCCTTGCTCGCCCAACTGTCCTGGTAAAACTGGAAAGGCCTCCGGGCCACCAATAGCCTCTCAAACATAAAAAAAAATTGTTTCATCACAATCCGATGAACACACAAATTACTAACAATACTTGACATGTTTCGAGGTGGGCCCTATGTAAGCCGTGATGTTAGGGCAAATTGTGAATTTATACTGAGACTAGCGACCCGCCCTCGCTTCGCTTCGGAAACTGTAATTTATTATTGATTTCTCCACTATTTAATGGATGTTGTTATACATAACAAACAGCATAAGAGATCTTCCACTAACTCAATTTAAAAAAAATATATATTTATGGCTAATAGATAAGGCTTATTATAGTGTGCAAGAATTTTTAAATGATAAGTGTTGTAGTTAATAAAATATTAGAATAAGAAGTGATAGAATGTAAAAATAGATAGATTTAGTAAATTTTGTGTTAAATTAATATAAAAATAAGTTAAATTTTCGCATGCCTAAACAGGCGAAATATATGAAACTATGTCCTATATCCATAATATCTTGTAAACTATATTTCTGGCGAATAAAGATTTTCTTCTTCTTCTTCTCCTTCATATAAACCATCCTCTTCAATCTATTGAAAAAAACCGCATCAAAATCCGTTGCGTAGTTTTAAAGGTTTATGCATACATAGGGACAGAGAAAGCGACTTTGTTTTATACTATGTAGTGATTTCGACCTCAAAGCAGACATTGAGGTTGCAGCTATCAGAGGACACACACACACACACGGACGATATAAATGTTCTGTTATTTTAACTGTAATTTCCTGTTTCGATTTCTCTATTTAAGGTTTTCGGATCGCTTCGATAGCTGATGAACGAGGATGTTTGTAATTATTGACCATAATATTGACGTACATGTAATTAAAGCTATTTAGGCGAAAGACTTTCGCCTTATAGCATAGAAATATCAACTTGATGATTTTAAATTGTATACAATATAAACGTTAATTCAGCTTAACGTCTCAAGAAGTAGATATAGTTCGTATGAAGTTTCAATTGCATTGTAAAAAAGTTATCCTTCATATCGGAAACCATCTACTTCGGAGAAGATAGCAGATCGGTGGAGTTTTGGAACCTGGCCAATGTGGCGGAAATTTCGCTCCCAAGGATGTCGGACGTCAACGTACACCAGCCTGTCACATAACAACAGCTGGTACGGTTATTGTCTTTTTTTTATTGCCCTATAGGCAGACGAGCATACGGCCCACCTGATGGTGAATGGTTACCGTCGCTCAATTACGTCAGCAATGGCAGAGGCAGAGCTAAGCCGCTGCCTACCGTTTAATACTCTCCACAAGCCTCGCTTGAAGAAGGACATGTCATAGCGCCCGGCAAACACCGTGGAGGGGATCTCATTCCATAGCCGGATGGTACGTGGCAAAAAAGATCTGTGGAAACACACTGTGGATGAGCGCAGTGGCTCCAGGTAGTATTTCTCTCTTATCGCGTATAGGAAAAGAATTCGGAAGTTATTTTTAACAAGCGGCAAAAATTACTCATCTCGATGTAACACATAATTAATTTCTTCGTAAGCTTTGTGTAACAAGATCTCTAAGGCTATATTTACGTCATAATTTATGAGTTAAATTAAACATCCAATAAATATTGTGAATGTTGAATTTCTAGATAATTCAATTTAACGACACAGAAGTATAACTTCTTACGTGCTTGCATAAAGGTATATGGATTTATTCATTGTGATTCAAAAAGATTTGTTTTTAATAAAAGCATCAATCTCGATCTATCTCAGTCGAACTAGATTATTTTTTATTTACTACGGGAAACGACTTTTTACTTTACTGGTGGTAGGACCTCTTGTGAGTCCGCGCGGGTAGGTACGGGTGAAGCAGTAATGCGTTTCGGTTTGAAGGGTGGGGCAGCCGTTGTACTGTTAAAATTGAGACCTTGGAACTCAAATGTTGAAGTAGGTGGCGGCATTTACGTTGTAGATGTCTATGGGCTCCGGTGATCATTTCACATAATGTGGGCCGTGAGCTCGTCCACCCACTTAAGCAATAAAAAAAACAGGGTTTTTTTTATAGGCAATATTCCTATCGCACGGGTTAATACCACTAACCCGCCTGATTCTGTCGCGTATCTCTCTTCTTCTTTTTCTCCACCTTATTCCACTAGGTGGGGTCGGCACAGCTAATTTTTCTCTTCCATTCTCTTCTATCAGCCGTCATCTCAACACTCACTCTTCTCTCTCTCATATCGTCATTCACACACTCCATCCATGTCTTCTTCGGTCGACCTCTTCCCCCTCTACCTTGCACTACCATTTCCATACATCTCCTAGTCACATGCATCTTCTGTCTACGCATCACAGGTTCATACCACGCTAGCCGTCCGCTCCTTCATTTGTTTCTTACCGGGGCCACTTTCACACTTCCTCTGATATACTCATTCTTTATCTTGTCCATTCTTGTCACTCCACACATCCATCTCAACATTCGCATCTCTGCCGCATGCACTCCTCTTTCATGCTTTACTTTACTTACTTTACTCTGTCGCGTATCTCTCGTGTGTTCCAATTCGAATGGTACTTCCATAGACACAATCCACTAAGTTTCTCGCGCGATTCTGACCCGGTGGAAGATTCTGCGAAGCATTGCTCTTGCTAGGGTTAGTGTTAGTAAATTCTCTCAGATTGAGCCCGTGAGCTCCCCCACCGGTCCGTGAACAGCAGGAAAGACCCTTAGGCTATCAAAATGATTCAGGACAACTCACTTCCGAAGATGCGTGACGTCATTCAAATGTTTTAATCATGTTTCGTTCGAAGTTTTGTGTTAGCTATCCGTTTACCTATCGCAGACTCGGCCGGTTTCTTCGTTTGCCCAAACAATTAAGTTCGCCTCTACGGTAAAATTTAAAGTAATCATTTGAACAGGCAACGTCCGAATTTGGCGAGAACTTAATTATGTCATTAACGGGATATCGCTAAATAAGGTAACAGTTTGATCACTTTGACCCATCGTTTTTTTCACATCTGTGACCCATACGAATGTTTATGTTGACGGAGATTTAGATTATTGTGAAAACAATACTGTTTTTCTTTATAATTATGTAGTACATAACTTATTCACATATCGCATAAATGTTACAGTCCAATATTTTAATTAGCGAATTAAAAATACGTACCGAAATCGAATGGTACTACTTCCTTAAACACAACCCACTGGGTTTCTCGCGCGATTCTGACCCGGTGGTA